GCATTTCTTATACAACTCACATTGTTATATCTTGCGGGTCGCCGAACTCACACAGACTCGAAGTGCAGGTCACAGTGAGGAGATCGGATCCAGACTCTGAGGAGTGAAAGACTGTCATCATGTGTTAATGTGAGCTGTGGCACGCCAGTCGAGCTCCGCAGGCATCTCACTGAACCTCACAGCGAGACCGAGCCGGACCCAGCTGCTCCCGCTGACCCCAACACACGCATGCCACACGTGTTAATGTGTGTGAAGCTCGAGGACGGTCAAAGTCTCTTCTCAGAAAGACATGTCACTGCTGTCTGTCACTGCATCTGTTTATGGCCGAGTACAAGCTTTAAAAGATTTAATGTAGCATTCCATCACTTACTCACCAATGGATCCTCTGCAGTGAATGGGTGCCGTCAGAATGAGTCCAAACAGCTGATAAAAACATCACAATAATCCACACCACTCCAGTCCATCAGTTAACATCTTGAGAAGACAAAAGCTGCGTGTTTGTAAGAAACAACTCCATCATTAGGACATTTTCAACTTCAAACCATTGCTAAAATATGAGTCCATAATCTATAATAACGCTTCCTCCAGTGAAAAAGTGTTCTGGTCTGAATCAGGAGAGAAATCTGCACAGATCAAGCAGCGTTTACAAGCCAAAACAGCTCTACACAAATATGTGGCTGGATTTTGATGTGAGAGACAACAGGAGATGCACTTTTTCACTGGAGGAAGCGTTATTATCAACCGGTTCGCAGTTAATCGTTACATCCCTAATAGATAAATATAATAGAACAAAGATACAAATGAAATAAACTGCTTTAAATTTTTTTCAGGAAGTCTTAACAGTATTCAGTTAAAGAAATTGAATAATCAAATGTAAAATAACACTGCATAGTCTTCACTGTATAAATTATATCTAATAAATCTGTTAAAGCTACAAAAGTGATTTTTCTCTGTGTTTTGTTGTTTGATTAACATTCATGACACAGAAAGCCTCATTAAACTGCTGTGAACCAAAATACTGTTACACGTCCGTTTCCTTTCTCAATTGTTTACCTTCACCTAAGCAACTTACAAGGATACTTGCAGAGACATGCATTTTGACAATTTCACACAAATAGACGCAGAAGTGAACGGAATTCAGTGTTCACGTGCATCTGCGCGGCTCTCACCGTGTCTACACCGGACACGAGCGGTGCGACGCGACAAAATACTGAACCCATTATAATCAGCGATACTGTCTACAGATGCGGCACGACACAATAAATCACCGACAGTAAACAGCTGCCTCGTTCTATTTACAACGTGCTGACACAAAGTTCATCGATGCTTTAACGATATATCGTGCAACCCTAATCCAAACAGCTGATAAAAACATAACAATAATCCACAAGTAATCCACAGCACTCCAGTCCATCAGTTAACATCTGGAGAAGACAAAAGCTGAAACAAATCCAGCATTAAGACGTTTTTAACTCAAATATGAGTTCATAATCCATAATAACTCTTCCTCCAGTGAAAAAGTGCATCTCCTGTTGTCTCTCACATCAAAATCCAGCCACATATTTGTGTAGAGCTGTTTTGGCTTGTAAACGCTGCTTGATCTGTGCAGATTTCTCTCCTGATTCAGACCAGAACACTTTTTCACTGGAGGAAGCGTTATTATGGATTATAGAGTCGGATTTTAGTTAAAAACGTCGTATTGATGGATTTGTTTCAGCTTTTGTCTTCTCCAGATGTTAACTGATGGACTGGAGTGCTGTGGATTACTTGAGGATTATTGTGATGTTTTTATCAGCTGTTTGGACTCTCATTCTGACGGCACCCATTCACTGCAGAGCATCCATTGCTGAGACACTGATGCAATGCTACATTTCTCCAAATCTGATGAAGAAACAAACTCATCCTAATCTTGGATGACCGTTGGATGAGCACATTTTTCAAATTTAAATTTTTGGGTGAACTATTCCTTTAAGCCTAATCAACAGCATTTGTAGAAAATTATTTTGACTCTTAAAAACAAGCAAAAATGCCATTTACTGTAATGCACTTACAAATGCATTGGGATAAACATAAAAAACACACAAAGAATGAACTGTGCCCACTGAACGCATCATTTGCACAATGGTTCAGCACCTGATTGATTCAATTTATGCAAATCAGGTAATCAGATGAAAAAATGCATGCAATTCAGAAGCAAAAAGTTCAGTGCAATATGCATGTCACATTTCCCATATTGCAGGCCGGTTTCTGAGTGATGTTGTAATGCATTGCACAAAAAGCATTCTCTCTTTTTTTTCGTCCAGATTTCAGGTTTGTGTTACTGTGAATTTCAACCTTCCAGAGTAGAATGACAGGCACTAACTGTAATCATACATTAGATTTGATCAGAGAGCCTCTGCGGCAGCCGCTCGAGCCAAACACACCCGCTGTTACTGTCACTCACAGACGAAACCAAGAAACTTTAAATGGTTTGTTAATTGATTTTCCCGTCAAGCATTAGTACCATGATGGATGGCTCATTTTCTGCGAGTGCTGAACACACATGCACACACACAGA